AACCCGGGGAATTTCAAAAACTTCTCCGTAAAAGACGGACTGATAACCCGACTTGGAGAAGGAGGAACGACCCAGATAGTAGTCCCGAAAGGAAACTACGAAAGGAAGTCCATTCGGGGAATAATCCTCGAGAGCATCCACGAAACACTTGGACATCTAGGATCCAAGAAAACAGTGGAAACCCTCCGTCGACACTTCTGGTGGAAGTCGATGAGAAAAGACACCCACAAGTTCTGCAGGTCTTGCAGAACTTGCCAAACAACCAAGAAAAGCACCAGGAGAAATCCCGGAATGCTTCACCCACTCCCGACCCCCGAGGCACCATGGTCATCAATAGCCATGGACTTCACAGGTCCATTCCCAACAAGCTTGGGATATGATTACCTCTGGGTAATCATCTGTAGGTTGACGTCCAACGTCCACCTAATTCCAATAAAAACAACAACGAACGCACTAGAACTAGCATTCGTATTTCTTCGTGAAGTTGTAAGACTCCACGGTCTACCACACTCGATCATATCAGATCGAGACTCGAAATTCACGTCAAAATTTTGGCGCGAACTACACCGAATACTCGGTGTACAGTTGAAATTCACAACTGCATTCCACCCGCAAGGCGACGGCCAAGCGGAAAGAATGATACAAAAAGTAGTACAAATACTACGCGCGATGGTTAGACCAGACCAACGCGACTGGGCAGCGAAACTGTCGATGGCGGAATTCGCGATCAATGCGAGCTCGAACACATCGACAGGATTTGCCCCGTTCGAATTAATCTACGGCCATATGCCAAAAATGTGCCTAACAGCACCACTCTCGGACTACCCGGGAATAAACGACTTTGCTCAAAAAGCGAAGGAAAACCTCATGGCAGCACACGACGCGATAATACATAATCGCGCTGCTCAAACAATCCAGGCGAATAAGAAAAGACGCCCGGACCCACCTTTGAAAAAAGGCGAGCTCGCATACTTATCCACAGATAAGCTGAACCTACCCAAAGGCAGGGCAGGAAAACTAAAGCCCCTATACATAGGGCCTTATGAAATCCTGGAAACATTTCCAGAAACGTCCAACTATGTCCTCAAGTTGCCACCACAACTTGAACAACGCGGAATCCACCCAAGATTCCATGTATCCCGGCTAGCACCTCACGAGCCGAATGACCAGGAAACCTTCCCAAATAGGGAAGTAAACATATTCTACGATTTCGGGGAAGACCCTGATCGCGAAGCAGTAGTTCGCGAAATCCTAAACCACGCGTGGGTTCACAACGAACTCTGGTTTAAGGTTAAATGGGAACTAGGGGACACCACATGGGAACCCCTAGGAAATTGCGACGACCTCGTCCACCTGGACGAGTACCTCACCTTACAAAATGTAAGGGAACCAGAAAAACTCCCTATCAAAGAAGACAGGGAACTCTCGGCATTATTACGCCCCCAAAAACGGAGGCGGAAGAAGTAAAGCCGAGGGACGATGGCCCACAGCCAAGAGCGTGGGAAAGTTCTGGGCGAGTAACTCGCCCGGACAGCCACACCATGTACAAGAAATCACATGGGCTAGGCAAGCAACTCGCCTAGACCACGTGAACCACAGGCTCACGTGCAAAAGAACACACAACCGCGGCGAATCCCACGCACACAAGAACGAAGACCCCTCCCACCGCCACGAGTAACATAACGACGAGATGTCGTTCTCTGGGGGAGGCAACCCTCGGTTCGATCCAAACAAACCGCCGGATATCGAAATACGACAACCCGGGGAGCAAGGCTCCCCGGAACAACAACAACACCAGGCGCAGATAAGCGCCATGGATTACACGACGCACGCAGCACAAATGAGTGCTGCGAACCATCAACCATCCGCGTTGCCAACAGGCATCGCACACCCCCAGCCTCCCCAAAGAGGCTTCCAACCATACGCGGTGCAAACTGCACCGATGGCGCAACAAGCGCCATTCCAGGGGCAGCATTTGCTGCTGCAGCCCCAGGCATACTCCCCAGGGAACTTCCCTGGCCAGATCAACCCCTGGTTTAGCCAATTCGGCCCAGGTCCAACAACGCCCCAGCCAAATGCAGGCTGGGAATCAGCCATCGCGTCAGCGGTAGCTGCTCAGACAGGTCAACTCCGTGAGGAGCTGAAAGAAATGAAGTCCCTCGTAGGAGGGAGACGAGGGAGCGACAGCGGCTCCTCGTCCAGACCGTCCAAGCGGGCACGGTCTGATAACTCGAGGGCGTCAGAAGACGCCTGCGACCATTGCGCCCACTGGAGGCGCGAATACAATAGAGCACGAAGAGATGCTGAGGGCATCTTTGACTCTCTGAAAGACGCAGAGAGAGAAGTCGATCTCCAAAAAAGGGAGATCGAATTACTGAAACGCGAGCTCAGAGAGGCACGCGCACTGGCAGACCTCGCTGCCAAACCCATCATGACGGGGGCCTCCCAGGTCAGGGGGAGGGGATACGGTTCCGGGCCTCATGAGGCGCGACCCCAAATGGGGACTAGCACATCAAGGGGTGGGGCACCGACTATCCCGCCACCCCATGGGCAGGCAACCCTGTCCGGGTTGCATAAAGGCCCGCCCTCAGAGGGGCAAACCCATGTCGAGGGGAAGAGGGAGAGTGGTAGGCAACCGACGGCAGACCCTAAAACGGGGACCACTGCCAGAGGCGGCGGGCCACTGAGTACCTCAGCACCCTATGGGCAAGCCACCCTGCAGGGAAGTGTCCACATGCTATACGAGACCGCCGAACTCAATGAGTTCGGCAAAGTCGAAGCTCCAGTCGACATAACAATCGACCCCAACTTCCCCATGAGGAGGATAGCGGGGTCAGAAGCGGCGCATGACGCCGCATACGCTTGGTGGACAAGCGTGAGTGGGAAAGAATTCGTACACTGGTACGAACAGGCTGAAGCCGCCTTCAAAAGCGGCAAGGTACACAGAACCCTTCGCGAAAAAGCGAAGGAAACCGAGAAATACTTCTTGGGACTCCCGAGCATCGCAAGACTCGCGGAGGAATATAATTCCCCGGAGAACAAGGGAAAAATCTCCTGGGAAAGTCTAGGCAAAGCTGCCTACTTAAAGTCCCAGTTCAAACCACTCAGGACTCCTGAGGAACGTGCCGCAAGAACGGCGGAGCGGGAAGCGAAAGCTTCCAAATACCGGGAAAGAGACGCAAGTCTCCGAGCTGGACAACCAGCCCAACGACCATCCTTCCCCACGGGAAGAACGGTAAACCTACCGTACTCTACACCTGAGCCAAGCAGCTCAGGAACACAACAACCCGCTCCCACCCAGGGAGCACCCACTTCGTCGAGCCCACAGCCCGACAATGTAGCCCAGGCTACGTCATCACATCCGACGCAGCAATCGGATGTCCAGATGAACAACCCGGAGGAAAACCCTCCTCCGGGGCAATGAATCCACCCTTGAGAGAAGGGAGAGTGACACGGTAATACGCCATCGAGGCGCCCGTGAAAACACCCCCCCCAACTCGAGGCCCCGCACACAATACTGTATGCGAGGAACCGCAAGTAACAATTGCGGAAATCTCCACTCCGCCAAAAGACCCACACCCACCACCGCTCGTGTGTAAACACCACTTACACACGAACCCTCACAGAACAAGTGAGGAACACCAAAGAAATACAGCCTTTGGGTCGAAATCCATTTTCGACAAACTCCACCACTTCTTTCTTCTCTCCCTGCGATACCAATGTATCGCCGTTCACTTCAAAGTAACGGCCCACACTCATTCAAACCCCTTCTCTTCCTTTCACCAACATGTACAAAATCGCCCACTTTAAAGTGGCGACAACAGAAACACTCATTGATAATTCCAAACTCAATGTAAACCAACCATTAAAATTCTGTTTTTATTCACTATCAACTTTGTATGCGTCGCATATGCAACGCAAGGGGGGAGAATGTCAGGGCAATAGCCCCGAACCCCGAGTCACATGTAAACTAGATAGATATAGTCACGTGGACAAGCGGGAACCTCCGGGTAACCGCTTACACACCACCGTAAAATACATCATCTTGTATCACTTACGGCTTTGTGTGCTGAGCAACCCCAAAGACCTCACATTGGGATTGTATGGATATGACATCATACTCCATTTTGTTTTTATTCTAATTCTTTCGACGTTACAGTGTTGTTCATTTGGGCTTGGTACCCACTTTGCGCTGCTAAGCTGACCCAACAGGGCGTTTTCAACAGGGGCCCCTTGCCACGATGTGCCATGGTGCAGGCTGTGACTCGAAGCTCTCGCTTATGCATTCAGAGCCCCTTGTTGAAAATGCCCTGTTGGGTTGGCTTAGCAGTGCAGAATGGGTACGCTATAGAGCCCCACCCCTGGCTCTTGTCCCTATCATGACTGTATAGTTGGCAAGTCTGTCATGGTGTCAAGCACTTGTATATTTTTATTTTTGGTCCTGTGGGTGCATTTGCTCTTATTGGTCATCAACTGTGTGGGCCTCCAACCAGTCCTGGATGAGTTGCTCTTCCCACGACTTATTGTTACGCTTGTTCATCCCCCAGTTGATATGGCTACAATCTTGTATTTGGGATACTACTGGATCCATGTGCCATCGAACCATGGGAAAGTTCTGGGCAAGCAGCTCGCCCAGAATCTTCCCACAGTTAGTTACATTTGTCAACCTTGCCTTATAGTTTTACTGACACCGATTAGGCGCTGTGATCATTGGTTGAAGTCCCATGAATAAGCAGTTATGGATACTGGGTGCACTGCAAAAAATGCATGGAAAATGATCATCCGTATGTAAATGCCTTGACGGTTTTTTTTTCGGTGGATTGCCCCAAAGGAAATGAGCAAATGAATTAACAGCCAATCAATTCCATAAGCATAACAAGCTCGAAGAATGAATAAACTAAATCAGGCAAGTGTCATGTGACATGGTTGCTTATTTTTTTCGTCGCTCATCGCTGCTGATTCTTGTTCCAAAACCATCACTACCGACACTTTCTACTGCTATGGAATCACTGATCTGGGATGACAGCTGGGTCCCCACTGAGCTTGCAGAGATCATATCATACTTCCAAGGGCATTCCACCATCCCCATCCCCCCACTCTCAGGCCTGCCATTGGAGGCCATCCAAAGCTGTCGCTCCGGGATTGAAAACTGGATCGAGTACCGAAAAACCCTCACAAAAAATGAGGAGAAAAAACAGGTGGGGATCTCCCCAACATCTACATCCCTCTCGTCGTCACACAGGTTTTGCATACTTCCTGCGAGGCGTATGTTTCAAGGCGTTTTCTTTGGGCTCCTTCAGACAAGGCTAGCCCTAATGTGGATGCAGTACTTGTCTACCTTCCCAGCATATCCAAATCCTGTGGAGATCCCCAGTCGTCCACAGCGAGTACATGGACACAAGCATGAGATCCAGTACTGGGTGCAATAGTGCCGTCTCGCCCTCCTCGACTACACCCCTGCAGGTCAGGAAAGTGGATTTATTGCCAAAATAACGCACCAGCCCCATGAAGCGGATGGAAGCGTTCTTCCCACTTCGCTCCTTGCTGGCAACGCAAATCGGCTTTTAAATAAAGCCAAATCATTCAAGACGCTTGCTGGCCAGTGCCGCTTAGGAGCGAATATCCTTTATGCCACATGGGGCCTCTGTCAGATTCTCGAGTTAGGATCTGAGTGCCTGGTAAGCCCCCCCCCTCCCGGAATTGCTGGGAATGATCCTTCCTAACGATCCTACAGCATGAACACATTCAATGGATGAAAGATGAAAAGTAAGTATATCATATTATTTCCACTCACTCTTGCTCACACGATGCCAGCTCTCCGTTCATAACATTGGCACTGGCTGTCTGCGTTTCTCCTCTTGTCCTTCTCATGGACACCACCATAAATCGGGCTGGCACCGTTCCCACATGGACGTCGCTGGCATTGCATGTCTGTCAGGGGGCCCCCTTCCCCTCTATTTCTGGTGGGGAGGTTGTGATGGAGAACGCGATCCTCCAAGTGGTGGTGAGTGTATGTGAGAGAGGGGGTCTAGCAGTACAGGACCTCTGCATCCTCAACCATGCATGGACTTACCTTAACCACACCTCGAGCCCCCAAGCCCCCCCTCCGGATGTTGACCCGATGCAAGAAGATGGTGTTGACCTCCAAAAACAAAAGTGCACATGCTTGCAGCACTCTGTAGGCCACTCTGACAGGTACAAGGTCCAAGCCACTTGGGCATCGAAGAGGAGAAAGGGAAAGAAGAAGGCCATGGCTGAAGACGAGTCAATGGAGGATGACACAGCTGCTGCTGTCACGAAGGGGTCCACCTCCAGAGGGGGGGATGATGACTGGCATAAGTTCATCGCCGAGTTTGCTGTCCCCGACCTCGACAACATCAACGATTGGCCTGAGCTGGTCATCCCTGACTCCACTTCGCGTGTTCCCAACTCTACCCCACATCCTTCTTCTTCTCACCACTCGACCAAAAAGGTGCGTGTCCAGCATGATTGCATCATGAACGTCAATCTAATCGATGATCTCTTATTCAGGATGCAGGTGCTGTATAGCTTCACCTTCTCTCATGTCTCCACCAATGATAATATAACTTGTGAATGGAATGAGGAGACATTCCAGTTCCCTAGCAAGCCTGATTCCATGAGTCCCTTTCTTCCCATGACTAAAACCAGCTAGTGAGATAACTCGTTGTTCCCAGGAACCCATCCTCATGCTGAATCGCTTGGTATCATCCATCGCTTGGGACTCAACCTGGTCCCCACACACAATGGTGGAAGCTGAAGCGCTCACCATGTCTCCCGAGGATTTCCAATCTTTGGTAAACAACGTGGGCCTCCTTGTCTTGGTCGGGCCTCCCAACAATACCATGCTGGACCGTCCCCTTCTCCTCTCCCAGTTGAGCAAGACAGCTCACGTGCAATGCTTCAGTAAGTTGCCCTACCTTGAAACATGCTGTCAAGCTCATGGGAATGCTCTCCAGATTCTGACAGCTCCAGATCAGGGGAAGATGATGAACAGTCATGGGAGCCACTGCCACAAGTGATCGACAAACTCACTGATTGGCGAACTTCACAGCCATTGGTCATGCACCACCTCAAGGGGGTTGTCCGTCTTCCTGTGGAAAGGTAACAATCCGTGTTCTACCATCTCTCACCATGCTGATCTGTTTCCTTTTCACAGCCTCCTCAACTCTCTCGATGGTCTCCTGTTCGAGTACCTCGACAAAAATGGAGGCGATCTTCCAGAAGATTGCAACTCTTGGAGGACACCAATGCTGGCCACTGTGGGGTCGTTTACAGCTCCACACCTGGATGAAGATGGGGTCGGCACCGTCCTGCATTGCATTGCAGGTTACAAGCTGATATTCTTCCCCATCGAATTGGAGGTCCCCTTGATCATTAAGTACGACAACTTGGATACCCAAGGTAGCATCGGATTCGAGTACCTGTTCCACTCCCCAAACCAGTTTGGGTGCTTCGTCCTCTGCCTGGGGCAAACACTGTAGGGTTTTTCTTCCCTCCAGCGATTTTCCATGGTCATTAATCTTGTTTTCTAGCATCATGGCCCCGGGCCAGGTCCATTTTGTCTTCACAGTGTCAAAGGAAGACAATGGAGAATTGAGCATAGGGGCCCTGATGCAAGGGTCATTTTTCCTCTCGCCCTGATGCATGGTTCGATCTTTGCATGCAAGTTGGGTGGACCAACTCCTTCAGTTGCAAAGGGGCGGCCCCATGGATAGGTGCGACACCATGACAGCAATGCTAGCAGCATATGTCTTGGACTCATATCGACGGTTAACGAGTGGCTGCTCATTGGTTGGGCAACCTGAGCCAAAAGAAGTGCTGGCTGCGATGTTCATGGCATTGGTGTACTCCAAGGAAAAGGAGGTCGATGTCAGGGCACGCTGCCGCCGCCGCCACCTCCTTTTCCTTTTGTCTCATTCCCTCATTCTCTCTTCTTTCCTTCTTCTCTTTTTCTATCTTTATACAGACGACCTCTCTTTCTTTCCTACCCTTGTAGCACAGATGCGTCCGACGCCGAGCACCCCATAGGGGCGCCGCAACGCCGGATGCGCCACGCACTTCTACTTGTACTTCCCCTCCAACACTCGGGATCGACCATGGAACCACCCGCGGTAACCTGGCTTCGTCCGAGGGTGACGTGGCAACCCCACGTGACCCATTCACACATGTATATAAACTAAGCTGAAGCAGGACCGAAGAAGTAACCTTCTTCTCATTTCCCGCTTCAGGCAAGTACCCTAGTTTAGTCTGGCTTCCCACCCTAATAACAATACATTTCCCGCTTCAGCCTAAGAAGCTACACAGGGACATAAGCCCGAGTAAGGGCCATCCACTATACGGTCTCACCGCCCTGCCGCCGTCCAGGCCGCTAGTGCTGAGCGTTATGCCGCTACCTCTGCCTTCCTCGAGCCGTCCCTGACAGTCGATCGGGGGGCACAGTGTGTGATCCACCATTATGCCCGTCTGCACCTGGAGGACTTTAGCCAATTCAGGCATGATGTTATAGGAATGGACCAGAATCTTATGGTCTGTCAGAGACCAGATTCGAGACGAAGGAATGTCTCCGTAGCGGAGGGCTTCGGCCTCAGCAACTTCTGCCAAGAGTGCTGTGCCTAGTGACACGTCCATGCCCTAACTTACTGACTGGCAATTAGAACCTAGGGGGGGTAACTCTAGTTGATTTTACTACTGGGGTGTAACCTATGTACAAGTGGGATATATATATGGTTACAACGGAGACGGTTCCGCAATTGGCGGAGCCGAACAGAGCAGAGCTAACGGGGTTTAAACATTAGCCGACTGAATATTACCGACGAGTCGGTTCACGGGGTTAGCGGAAAGGCAGGCGATAACCCAGAAACGGAAAGGAGGGATAGGCCCGAAGGTGGGCTCTGCAGGGCAGGCGAGTGTATTGCCCAGCGGAGGCGGGGGTGCGCTAGCGGACGTTGGAGCTGTCCGGAAGTCTTTGGGGCTCCATACTTAGGGAGGCGTAGGTAATAAATTGAAATGAGGGGGTGGTGACCATCGAGGGGTACCGAGAGGATTGCGGAATACGGGGGCTCCGAGGTTAGTGAGGGAGGAGCGGAGTTAGAATGGAGGGATCGGAGGGTCTGGAAGTCGATGGCCAGGATTGGATATGACATGGTCCATGGTTACAAGCAGGTAGAACCAGGTATGCCTCCTTATTGTTTTCCCCTATTTCTCTACCCAAACCCCATGCCAAGCTTTCCCACTGGGTTTTGGTGCTGGCTGGGGGAATTGTTGAATTTCAAGGGACTTCCCTTGACCATTACAACTTTTATATTAGATATAAACTAGTCATATGACATGTAAAGGCAAATGCCGAAAGAGGTCTTGCTTCATCTAATACATAACCCACAAAACCTTGTACCGCGATTGTAACTGCCACACCATTGTGCCACCACTGTAAGCCTTCTCTGTAATATCTGACTTGGTCCATATCGATGTCTACATCGATATTCTTACAATCTGTGAGAAAACCTCAACGGCCTGGTGAGTGCTCAGACACCGGACCTCACCCTTCCTGCTCCCACCCCCCCACTGGGTGGTTGAGCTCCCATTCCTACCCTTCCTGTAGTACCCTACTGGGTCCTACAACCCTTCCTCCCTTCTTGGGAGGGAGAAGTGACTCAGGCAGCCCCAGGATGCCTGGCCACGTACCCACGGGCCCAAATTCCCACGGTCACTCACTACCGTGCACTGGTCAACCAACCTGCCTGTCCCAACAAATCCTGCTACCGGTACGCTCCCCTGAGCGCCAAGTAACCGATAGTCAACCACTGGGCTACTCCCTCAAGGAGTTCCAACTACCCATGCTACCAGTATGCTCACATGAGCGCCAAGTCACCGCTAGCCGACTGTTAGGTGGCTCCCTCAAGGAGCCCCCATTATACCCACTGCCGGTACGCTCCTCGGAGTGCCAAGTTACCGTTAGCCCACCTGGCCTCGGATCTCCTGCTCTCCCCTCAATGGCTACACAGCCACCTCCGTCCGTGAGCAGAACAGCTCAGGCTGGGTTCCCCGGAACCCATACCTGTAACACGTGAATTCAGCAAAGTTCGGGCTGCCAACCTGCAGGATGGTGGTGACATGTTCACTGCCCAAGAGGTGGAATTACTTCGTGGATCCATGAAGGCTGCAGTCCAGGCGATGATGGACAAGGGGATCCTAGAATAGTTTGTTTGTAGACAAGCTATGACACCCAACCATCGTTTCCCATGGATAAACATCTTGCCACCCCTACATCAATTTATCTTCCCTCCATTGTTTCTATATATGTGTTGTGCTTGCTTGTAACAATATATGCATGCAATGTAACAATATGTACACAATGTACACAATGTAACAATATATATATATATATATATTAACTGAAGAAGAGTGAGTCCGAGAAGAGCAGTACACAAAGATATGGCACGAATCAGCCATGGTATAAAGGATGATTGCTGCTTTTCAAGTTATGAGGTGTGGGAAGATTCTGGGCGAGCAGCTTGCCCAGAAATGGTCACGTGTTGGGTGGTGACTGTACCAGAGTTGTCCAAATTGATATCTATTGTCCCAAGCTGCAAATGCAGTGAATCCACAGAAACATCCTGATGCTGTACACTGTAACGGGTCTATCGCCTAGACTCGAGACAGAGAGAAGGGGGAGGGTGGTAGTGTGCGCAGGTGTGGTTCGTGGGGCCAGGTTTTGGTCCTGGGGCGCTACCGAGTCTGCAAAAACCTCAAACAAACACTCACCTACGTCTCTCTTGGACGTCAAGGCTGAGTATTATGATGTGAGGGGTCTTAGACGTGAGCAACTAGCTCAGAGGGGGTGTTAAGGTCGTGGATGGTGTCTTTGCCACTTGGATGTAACTTCTGCTTGTCCCTTCACGGGTCTATTCAGTACTAACTTGTTATGTACAAGCTATTATCTAGTTTATATGAGTTGGAAATGGAATGAATGGAGTGGGGGAATGTAAACGGGCCGTTAGGCAACCGTAAATGATAAATATCCAATTGGGAACAAAGAAACAATAAAAGAAATATGAATGAATGGGGAAAATGTGACAACAGGTCCGAAATGGGAATTGTGAAGGTTAACTCCGCAACACTTCGCTGCAGCACCCGCCTATCCTCCCATCAGCAACCTCCTTGTCTCCAGCTTTCCAACGCTATTCGTCCCATTTGGTGCAGTACTTCTTGAGATGTGGCCATTGACAGGTGCTGTCAAGACCATGTGAGAGTATACTGTACTGGCACGACCAACAACCGGTTCCCACGGCCTCCAGGAGTTGCCGGAGGCTGCTAATCAATTCAATCGTGTTGATTTTCAATTCAATCCAAGGTCCTCACGTGATGTGTGACCAGTTGTTGGTTGTGCCAGTACAGTACTCCATGCTGAACCATCCGGGTATGGGATTGCCATTCTGGGAAATGCTCCGGGGGTGAAGAAGGGTGGTAGAGCATCACTATCGGGTGGAAAAACAGCTGGGTTGTATGTGTGGTTATGGAGATCTGGAGAGGGGGTGAAATTAGCGGCGTGGTTGGGCGTGGGAATTTGGCTTGGGGCTGTCGGGAATGATGGGGAAAATATGGAAAAATATGGAGTGAGTGTATGGAGTGTTGGATAGTGATAGAATGAGTATCGGGAGCGTCAGCGGATATGTACTGTGTGTTGGTGACCAAATTCCGCAGAATCCGACTTTTTGCGGTACATGGAGTTGTCCCCATAACAACACTGCATGCCGAGACCTAAACCTAGCCAACCTTTTCTAGAGGGTAGCATAAGAGTAGTGAGCTTCCTCAACGTGAGTGGAGCATACGAAAAGAAAACCTCAACCAATGTGGTGCATTGCTCCTTGAGAGTGAGCATGTAGGTTGGTGTTGCCATAACAGGCTGAAACGCCTCCTTCCTTCTCTGGCTTCTAACTGGTAAGTTGCCCCGTAGCGCGATGGGACCTGTAACTCATGCATGCTGATCAGATAACCCTGGTCTCTGCGAAATTACTTTGCATTTTCCATCGATTCATCGTGCATGATCTTGTGAGTCTATCGCAGCTGTGAAACACTCACTTGGTCACTAAGGCGCTTGGCCTGGCTTCTTCCTTAGTTCTCATTCTGAGTCTTGCCTCTTTTCTTTCACACATAACCTTGATCTCGATGCCAAGTTACTCAACATATGTCACACGATGAAATCGCAGGGACCGGACCGCATCAAGTTGCCAACCGGTGCAGCCACCCTCCAACAGCTTGATAACGTGGTTGGCACATAAGTCGATCACCTCCTCTGGAGGTGAGAGATCTTAAAACCCTCAGGAACCAGCCCTGAAGTGGTTGCTTTTTCAGGATCATGTTGATCCTCATCATCGTCCGACGATGGCTGTTTCTGCAAATCTCCCATAATAGTTTCTTTATAAACCACTCTTTCTTTTTCGTGTGACCTTGCCCTTGCAGGCGTGTTTTGGCGCCATGGGCAGGAAACCGGATCTCTCTTTGCAGCAAACCTTCAGTAACAACCAACGAGATGCCACCTTTATGCGGTACACAGCAGAACTGGAGCAAACCGCTGAAGCCAGAGTCCGAGGGCAGCATGAACTTGGCGTTGGTGGTGGGCCAGAGCAAGTCACTGCTCGACCAGATGGGACACTCGAATCAGACCCTGATGCTTCTTCTAGGGCTAATTGTGCAACCTGCCCCCAAGAACCTCATCAAGCGAATTCAACACCATACCCCACACAACCTTCAAGCAAGTCAGTGAGGAGGAAGATGACCACAGGGCAGAGTTTGCATAGGCCTGGCTCACCAATGCCCATAAAAAACCCATGTCCCCTGGAATGCCTACAATGCCAACATTGAAAGGGCAGTCTGCAGCCTCACCAGTTGTGGAGGACAGCTCCACACCTTTGGAAAGACAATCGCTTCATCAACGAAGACAGGTGCTCATGTACCATTTAAATACAATGACCCCATTGAGCTTGGGAACGGACAACCATCCAACTCGCAAGACGAAACTTACAACTGAGGGGCAATGAACGGAGGCATGAAACAAATATATCGCTGCAGTTCTCTGGACACTGGGCAGCCGAGTTTCAGAATATGACCAGGCTCCCAGGATGTTCATGGAAACACCCACCTCGCTTGGAATTGACCCTGGCAAATTGTAATGGGTTGGCCCGGTATGAGCTCTGCTAGGTAGCCCCGTTACCATTTGACAGGGCCAACCATCAGATTTCGAGTGCTGGGACCTCCTATCAGATATGCGCAGTCTGATGGGGTCATCCTGATGGGATGCCCAGGACGTACTGATGGGGTGCCCTGGAAGTTATTGATAAGTAAATGTCGTGCTGAATGCCATTGTGGAAACGAAATGAGATATTCATTTGTTTTCTAGACTGGTTTGAGGAGCCCTCGCGCGCTATGGCTACACACCACTTTCCTCCTCCACATCATCATCAGCCCCATGCTTGTTGTTTCCTATCAAAAGCCAAACGAGTAGGAGCCCTTTATTATGGAGGAAATGGTCAAGGCTCTGCACATAAAGTTTTGGAAGCCTATGTTGGACATGGCCTGCCCACAGTCGCTTGTTCAATTGCCAACACTGATCCATGAGGGACATCCACAAATCATCATTCACCATCACCCCAGTAAACCCCCTGTTCAGGAGCAACCCCCTTCAGTGCCGGATATTGTTCGATGGACCCCACATTCTCCTCAGCCCACACAGGTTGTTCGCATACAATCTCCTCCACTTAGAACAGAGCCATCTCTGGAGGAGCCCCCGGAAGGTGTACAAGTCTGGAAGCACCTGGTCCTCCAGTTCAGCAAGAGCTTCCACCCTAAGCAGATGTCCTTCCCCCTGTCCTTCAAGTGCTGGCACCGATCCATGAGGGACATCTGCGAGTCATCATTCACAATCACCCCCTTGCACGGGAGCGACTGCCTTCAGCGCTGGATATTGTTTGACTGACCCCGCATTCTCCTTAGCCCACACAGGTTGTTCAAAACAGAGCCATCTTTCTCAGACACAAAACTGACCCATGGTTCGAGAGGCACCATGTTAAGGAAATGGGTTATGGGTAATCCATTTCTTTCCGTCCTTATAGACGACTTGTAATCATCCACCTCATGTATGTAGGGCAGCCTAGTCGTGTAATTAGAATTGTCCGATAGCCTTGGAGCTTTTGACAGAAAGCTGAGACCTCGCAGTGAATGGGAGTCTGCTACGACGGATACTTGGCGCTCGTTACGTGAGCGTACCGTGCGCAGGTGTATAGAATCACAGGTTAAGGGAATATCCAGAATGGGACCAGCCGAGGACAAAGGGCTAACAGGTACTTGGCGCTCGAGGGAGCGTACCGGTAGCGAGTGAGATAACAGCTCCTTGAGGGAGCTTCCTGAGATTTGGTTGACAGGTACTTGGCACCCAATTGGGTGTACCAGCAACGAGTGATGTTCTAGCTCCTTGAGGGAGCTACTAGAGGCTGGGTTGACGGATACTTGGCACCCAGATGGGCGTACCGGCAATGAGGTATGAGACCGTTCGTCTGGCAAACGGTCTGTATTCGTGTCAACGGGTACTTGGCGCTCGTAAGAGCGTACCGGTGACAGAGGGGTTAGTCAATCGTAGGTCGAATGACACGTGGTGGGATCGACAGCTACTTGGCGCTCGCGAGAGCGTACCAGCGACGAGGGGAATGGGCTTGTATCGAATACCAATCCGTCCATAGAATTAACCAGATGCTCACTGTAAGGTGAGACAGACGTGAGCCCAGTACCTGGGCGAGCGACGTGAGTCGTGACAAAAGGTGTTTGCACATACCTGAGTTGAGTCATGTGCGAACTCGACGATCCGTGGCTAGAGTCGTCAACCTCGGTAGGGATGACCCATATAGATGGTGACTGAGACATACACAATCTTACACAGACGTTACAGTGTTGGCACAAGGAGGTTTACAGTTGTTGCACAGAAGAGGATGGTGTGTTATTCGTTAGGTTCCGTCTTTTCGGCTGTAGCTGTACATGAATGTGACGCTAACTATTGAATAAGAAATGATCGCGAGAAATCTCGTGAAATAGAATAAATAATCTGGCCAGCACCAAAACCCAATAAGGGAAAGCTTAGGGCGGAGTGAGCATGTAAGAAGGGGGGAAGCGGGGAGAAGGTAACAAAGAGAAGGGAGGATGTGGAGAAGGAGGACCCGCTGTGGTGGACGTTCAGTCGACATGGTCGCGAGAGACTCCATTCCTATAACATGCCAGCCCAAATTCTGCAGCGCCAGAAGCAAGGACCATGCCCCACCCATCCACGCAGTGCAATCTATCCTCAAGCCTTCCCAGATCAAAAAAGTCCAACAGAGTCCTCGCATATGCATCTACTTCAACAGTCCAGTGTCAGGGACAGCTCCGAAAGCGGCGAGGTCCTGGCGTGAGGGACTCGATGGGACAGATGTCGGCTATGTGTAGCGGCAGTCCCGTTGCGGGGTGAGCGTCCCCGACCACTTAGTCTGAAGTGGGAAGTTGAATTATCATTAAAAGGGGAAGCTACAGTACTTACCTGAAGTGGGAAGTTGAGAAGAAGGCTGCTTCTTCTGTTCCCACCCCAGGTACTATTATATACATGCGGCTGGGGTCACGTGGGAGGAGCCATGTCATCCCCGCACACAGCCGCACTCCCCTGGGTATCTCCATGGGAGATCCCAGAGGTGTGCCGCTCTGTGAGCGGGAATGCGCGTGGCAGGCGCGGCGATCGGGGGAGCGGGGTTAAGTGTGTAGTAATACATAGAGAAGGGGAAGTCAACCATGGAACGGAAATAGAAAGAAAGAAGGAAAGGGGAAAGAAGAAACAGGGAGTGATAGCGGGGGAGCGGGGTAGGGCGGCGTGGCACGGGGTCAGGTGGGGTGTGCCCTGACATCCAGTCAAACTAGAAATATGCATATGCCCCTGACTGGAACTGCAGTGAGGAACGGGAGAAAGAGGCTGAGGCTCAAGACAATGGTGGTATAAAGTAATTGCGAAGGTGATGTAGATGCATCGATGCTAGACCCGCTTTTACAACTGCCACAACAGCCTTTGATGAGTGTGTCTCCGAACCATGTCATGGCACCGAACGAGAACACAGTGGTAAGTCAGCCAATGTAATCATGAAGGCGAGTCAAGGCTGAGTGCAAAGTAAACTCATCCTGTGGACGCTTTTATGACCATGACATCACCTTCGGGATTACTCGACAAGCCTGTCCTGAATCGTGTCGTTCACCCAATCTCAACCCAGCCTTGTCAAGCATGCCCCCAAACCATGTCGTGGCACCGAATGAGAATGCAGTGGTAAGTCAGCCAAAGTAATCACGAAGGCGAGTCAATGCTGAGCGCAAAGTAAACTCATCCTGTGGACGCTTTTACAACCACGACATCACCTTCGGGATTACTCGACAAGCCTGCCCCTGAATCATGTCGTTCGCCAGATCTCAACCCAGCCTCGTCAAGCATGCCCCCGAACTGTGTCATGGCACTGAACGAGAACGCAGTGGTAAGTCAGCCAAAGCAATCACGAAGGTGAGTCAAAGCTGATCACAAAGTAAACTCATCTTGTGGACACTTTTACAACCGTGACATCACCTTGAGGGTTAATCAACAAGCCTGCCACTGAATCGTGTCATTCGCCCGATCTCAACCCAGCCTCGTCAAGCCTGCCCCTGAATCGTGTTGTTCACCCAATCTCAACCCAGCCTCATCAAGCATGCCCCCGAACCGTGTTGTGGCACCGAACAAGAACGCAGTGGTAAGTCAGCCAAAGTAATCACAAAGGCGAGTCAAAGCTGATTGCAAAGTAAACTCATCTTGTGGACGCTTTTACGACCGCGACATCACCTTGAGGGTTAATCAACAAGCATGCCCCTGAATCATGTCATTCGCCAGATCTCAAACCAAGAGTAATCAGGTCGGCACACCAGTGGGACAACAACTTCTAGGTGCACCTTGTTCTGTTGACGAGAAATGGTCCGAAACATGGTACTGAACTGGTGAAGAAATATTCTCACAGTAAGCGTCTCTTTTTCAGGAACTTTTGTTTTACATTAACAGAGCAAACAGAAAACGTCGAGAGACTGAACATTCATGTCTAATGATGAAAGTTTACACGCCAAATGTAAGTACAAGTATTGGTTGAAGTCTAAATGCTGATGCTGTCAAAGTCATCGACTTTTGAAGAGATATATGATGCTAGCGAACGATACGACATCAATCACGATGACATGGTCAACCAAAAGTACCAGAAGGAGTTGCAACCGGGCAACATCGTTATTGTCACCTTCAACAATTCCGCAAGACTTGAGGGCCGAAGGATAGTGGGTATTAGTTTTGTCTGTGATGGAGAAGATCACAAGTTGGGGTGCTCCGAAGCCTGGCTCTTCATCCAAGAAGATGTGAGTAATGATACTTCAAAGGAAAACAAGTTACTGAAAGACAGTATAACCATGAATAGAACTATGTCAAAGTCGTTGCCAACATCACACCTGCCACGGCCTGTTTTTTGTTGTTTAATGTCACATTTCACGAGACTAATCATGGGACAGTGCTTACCACAGCCATGCAGTGATCGCTCCCCTGCCTGCCCATTGCTATCTCACCCGCCCTACTGCCCACACCTTGCTCGTGCCCATGTCTTAACAATCTCACTATGGCACCATCAGCTCAATGCCGCTTTGCCCAGGTCTCGCCCATCTCACGATGACACCGTCACTGTGGACCTACAGCTTGCTTGGTTCCAGACTGTATGCTGAATGTTCCAGTGTGGATGTGCAGAACGGAACAATCTCAGCTGTGGTACAGTCTGAAACCTAATATGCCAACAGGAACATCTGCACACTTATAAAGGGTCTCTGACCCATGCCTCCTGTTCCCCAGCCATTGCCAGCCCATTCTTCCTCGGTGAGTAAGAACGCTTCGATTCAGCCAGGGTCTGAAATCGCTGCCGTTGCCTGACAAACTCTCTTGCCCACTTCCAGTATCTACAGCCTTATTTACAGCCTTTTTACGTGCCCACCACCTCCCCTGTCTCCTCCTGCTAAAATATGTACCCTATGTATATTTAACATGGGTCGCGTGTGGCATGCTCAAACCAATTCATAGGCCGTCCCCTCAGCCGTTCCCACTACACCTTGTTGTCTGCGATTAGTTGTAATTTCTCGTCTTGTGTTGGTGTGAGAAAAATAACAAATTTGATTAACTCTCGCAACGTAAGAACATGAAAACGAAATAAGGGGGCAGTGCAGAGTCTGGAGTGCAAGCACTCTTCTAGTTCTATTTCACAGGACCAGCCCATGTTGGGCTGTGTCCACTACATTGGTCGGAACCAATTAGGTCTCAGTGTGAAGTGGAAGAATATATTGAGAATATTATCATGAATTTTCACAGGAGAAACTGATTAGATCCAGACAGGATTTGATGACAGGATTTTGGTCAAATTCATGAAAAAGGTGGGACTCATCACATGTACCAGGCCAGGGGAAAATCGTGTCTTATGGTAAAACCTCTGTCATGTGGCAGATACGATATTATCATGGATATTGTAATATTCACTTTTCTCAGTGCATAAAATACAGGGGAAAGCAGGGGAAAGCCATCGCAGGGGTCATAGGTCCCAAGTGTGAGTGGGTCTCAGAGAGATAGAAGTTATACGTTGGGGTGATGGTATACCGGAAATCCCTTCAATGCAAGTGCCTCAAACAATGGACTTGACGTTCAATATCCTGGAAGAGGTCGTATTGTGCGTAGTAGAGCCCAATCCACTCAAGCTCGTTATGGGATGGATTCTGTGGTTGTGTCAGGTTTCATTTGCAGCTTACCAGCCATCCATGCATACCTCCATGCTAAATTCCCACCAACTCTCCACATTTTCCTCCACGCTTGACGGGGCCTCCCTGGTCAGAATCCATCGTACTGCTGCAGCCCATTCATCATTCAAGAAAGCTGGGTGCTCCTCAGAGCGACCCTCTGGCCTCCTCATCAGCATCACCTCTGGTCTCGCTGGAACGTTTCTACATTCCCTGAGGTACCTGCTCACCGCTCAGGAAAAATTGTCACGAAATTATAGGTTAAATAAACCCACTGGTTCGGGTTGGTGTGAGACCCCATGTTGATCCCATGGTCATAGTAGGATTTCCAAACTTCCAGCAAAAGCAGTCATCCCCTAGCATCTCAGATCCTGCTCCTTGTATAGGAAAAAAAAAGACTGGTTTGTGGTCATATTACTTCCATCTATAAGTCAAATGTAAAGGTCAATATTCATGCTTGCAAATAATAAGATAACCTGGTCGGTTTTTGAAGAATGATGTTGCAAGGTTGTATTGGTGTTCACGAGCATTAGTACGACTTCCACACTGACTTGACATATTTTTTCACATTTTCTAAACTCATAGTTTCCATCCACAAGTCAAATGTTGTTATATTCATGCTTATAAATGATAAAATAACCTTGGTCAATTTTTGAGAAATAATTATTATGTGGAAAGGTCGTATTGATGTTTGTGAGCATTAGTACGACCTCCACACTGACTTGACATATTTTTTCACATTTTCTAAACTCATAATTCCCATCTACAAGTCAATGTTAAGGTCAATATTCACACTTGCAAACAATAAGATAACCTGGTTGATTTTTGAAGAATAATTATTAGGTAACGAGGTTGTATTGATGTTCGTGAGCATTAGTGCGGCCTCCACACTGACTTGACATATTTTTTCAAACTCATTATTTCCATCTACAAGTCAAACATTACAGTCATATTCAAATGCTAGCAAACAATAGGATAACCAGTCAATAATTTTTGAGGAATAGTGATTATGTGGCAAGGTTGTATTACTGTTCGCGAGCACTAGTATGACCTCCACACTGACTTGGTAGATCTTCACATCTTTCCAAACTGATGCATACAGTAAGGTTGTATTCCTGTTTGCAAGCGCTAGTATGACCTCTGGACGAACTTGGCTAGTGTCATATCCATTCCTGGCCATCGACTTCCGATCCCTCCAGCCTACCTCCGCTCCTTCTTTACTAACCTCGGAGCTCCCATATTCCGCAATCCTCTCGGTACCCCTCAATGGTCACCACCCCCTCCTTTCAATTTATTACCAACGCCTCCCTAAGTACGGAGCCCCGAAGACTTCCGGACAGCTCCGACATCTGCTAGCGCACCCCCGCCTCCACTGGGCAATACACTCACCTGCCCTGCAGAGCCCACCTTTGGGCCCATCCCTCCTTTCCGTTTCTGGGTTATCGCCTGCCTTTCCGTTAACCCCGCTGTTAGAACTTGCGGATTCGGACGACTCCGGAGTGGAATCGGAGACTTAGCGTGGAAGGACCTCGGCCTCAGTGTGAGGTCTTTGGGGTTGCTCAGCACACAAAGCCGTAAGTGATACAAGATGATGTATTTTACGGTGGTGTGTAAGCGGTTACCCGGAGGTTCCCGCTTGTCCACGTGACTATATCTATCTAGTTTACATGTGACTCGGGGTTCGGGGCTATTGCCCTGACAGGAAGTCAGGAGGAGTGGTGTAGGGGATGGCAAGGTTGTTAGGGAGGTGCAGTGGGGTGGGAGGGTGTCATATCCGTGCATACCCGATCCTGACCCGACTCCCAGACCTCCATCTTCACCACCTCCGGAGTCCTACCCTACCGCTGTCCATTCCGATATTCACCTTTGGCCCTGACACCACACCTCCTCTCACCCCTCATGCCACCTCCACTCCGTCCTTCTCCTGTCCTATCTCCGTCTGCTCCAATACTCACCTTGGACTGAACACCACACCTCTCGCCACCCTCCTCCTAATCCTCCTCCCACTGCTCTGCTTCCTCCTCACAACACCTCCACCCTTCCATCATTCCCCTACCCTTTGCCTGTCCACTCCAATACTCACCTTCGGACCTGACACCTTCCCTCTCCTCCACTCCTCTCCCTTTTCCTCTTTCCTCTCTCTTCCCTCTGGACCTCTTCTGCCAACCTTCCACCAAGTTATGACCTTCCACCACTGTCCTGTACCTCATACCTGGACACCGCTCGTACCTTCGCTCTGAGACTCCGTCATAGTTCCTACCTCGGACTTTGACCCCACCTCAGCTTTAGTCCATTGCATTGGTGATCTCATACTACATAAACACCATTGCCAATATTCCTTGGACTTTCAACCCCACCTCTGTAACCTCTGTAAGCTCCGCAACCTCTGAGCTCCACAGATTATCTTCGGCACTTTCGCTGCTTGTAATGTATCTTTCACGTTTTCCCCTCACCCCTATTTGGACTGCTGCTTCTTCCCATTCTAGCCAGTTAGTCATCATCCCCACTTCCCCTCATCCCCCTGCCCCTCTGGGCTTCGCCCTCCTTATCTCCTTTCGGATGTACCACAGGTTCAGCCCTATGACCTTCAGTACCACTCCACTTCTGTCATCCCTTTGTTCCTGTTCAGACACCTTCATTCTGATTCGGACCCCCTTTGTTTCCTTGTGCTTTCGCCCTCTCCATATATATATTGGTGCTTGTACATACTCATTTTAGGCCTTAGTCTAAAATCGACCTGAAATGCCCCCTAGAGACTTCCTGCTTGCCTCCTATGAAATTAAGGACCAAATGGACAAACAGCAATGGCACAGCGCTCCGCTTGAGTTGCTGAGGCCAAGGTCCCTCCTTGCTAAGTCTCCGGTTCCCCTCCGGAATCGTCCGCCCTCGCCCAGTTCTAACAGAGAGTGTGGGGTCAGGATTCCAGGATATGACAGGCCATCACTTTGAAGTGAATGGTGATACATGGGTATCGCAAAAGGGAAAAGTGATAAAAGAAGAAAAAAGTCTCGAAAATAAATTTCAACCCAAAAATTATATATCTTTGGTATTCCTCTTCACTTGTTCCATGAGGATTCGTGTGTAAATGGTGTTTACACATGAGCGGTGGTGGATGTGGGTTAGATGGAGTAGAAGTTTCCACAATTGTTACTTGTGGTTCCTCACAGCCCTGCAGCTTTTGCAGCACGTTCCTCAGGAGTCCTGAGTGGTTTGAACTGGGACTTCACATAGGCAGCTTTGCCTAGACTTTCCCAGGAGATTTTCCCCCTGTTCTCTGGGGAGTTGTAATCCTCTGTGAGTTTTGCAATACTCAGGAGTTCCAAGAAGTATTTCTCGGTTTCCTTTGCTTTTCCATGAAGGACTCTGTGTACCTTGCTGCTTTTGAAGGCTGCTTCGGCCTGTTTGTACCATTGTACAAATGCTTTTCCACTCACACTTGTCCACCAAGTGTATGCAGCGTTGTGTGCCACTTCTGACCCCGCTATTCTCCTCATGGAGAAGTTGGGGTCGATTGTTTCATTGATAGGAGCTTCGACTTTGCTGAACTCGTTGAGTTTGGCGGTCTCATATAGCATGTGGACACTTCCCTGCAGCGTAGCTTGCCCATAGGGTGCTGAGGTACTCAGTGGCCTGCCACCTCTGCCAGTGGTCCCTGCTTGGGGGTCTGCCATCAGTTGCCCACCACTCTCCCTCTTCCCCTCAACATGGGTTTGCCCTCCTGAGGGTAGGCCCTTATGCAACCCAGACAGGGTCGCCTGCCCACAGGGTGGCAGGACAGTCGGTGCCCTGCCCCTTGGTGCACTAGTCCCCACATGGGGTCACACCTCATGAGGCCCAGCACTGTATCCCCTCCCCCTGACCTGGGAGGCCCCCATCATAATGGGTTTGGCAGCAAGATCTGCCAGTGCATGTGCCTCTTTGTCAGGGCAATAGCCCCGAACCCTGAG